TGGCCAAGCGTGTTCGAGCGTGGTCGTGCTCTGGAGGCCTGCGAGGTAACACCGCCCGTGGACCTGGATAGGCTCGTCGCAGCCGTGGTCGCGGCCCTGGATGACGTCACCACGGACTTGCCGCTGCTCGGCGGGCAAGTCGAGGCCTACCGCGCCTCGCTGCGACAACTGGACGTGTGCTGCCGATAGAAGGCACCAACGATGCACGTCAATGAGATGCGTAGCCGATCGAAGGCTACACCTGTGTGTATGACGAGAACCGTGTAGACTAGGAAATCATGTAAACTATTGTAATGGAATGAAGGTCTTGCTCATGTGGTATGCGCCATCATATGCTGTAGAAGGGACTAGATTGGTCGACGATACACGCGCAGTTGAGATGAAGAAAGATTGTCTGTTCGGACACTAGCTGGGAAACCTCTCGAAAACCATTGATTTAGCTGCTGCAGGTTCATGCATTTATAGAGGTATGCATTTACAAAGTATTTCCATGAAACCGTCAGTCTACACCGGTGTATATCACCGGCGACGGAGGCGTCCCGGTGCAATAGTAGGACCAACTCGCACGTGGGTGAAAATTGTGAAATTGGTGTCGACACGGTCGGCATGTTGGCTGTACGATGATGCTCAAAGTTTCTAGTTCATTTTCGCTGGCACTATAAAACACCAATGGTCCGTCATGGTGCCACCTAAGCCCAGGAAGCGTCGGCTTATCACGCTGCCGCGCCGTTCCCAACATGGATGTTGATGAAATGCACGTATTAAAAATACTATACAGAGGTTTCGTTAATACGGACCATGGATGCGTGCGGTTTACAAAGCGGGAGGAAGACGGGCGACTGCACGTGCCGTTGACGCGTCCATTGGGCTGCTTCAGGTTTCGCGCAGAAGAAAATGCGTTGCTTCTTGAAGTTGAGATTTACGAACGTTGCAGTAGCTTTACACCTCCTCAGGTCGTCCAAGAGCGCAAGCCTGTATTTCCACAAATAGCATTGTTCGGCGCTCGCCGACAACGGCGCTTCTGACGTCACTTGAAGAACGAGACGGAGACGCACCGGCGTCGTATCATTGAAACTGCGCTTGAAGAAGCTATTTGAACGAGCTACTGCAACTTATTAGCATGGAACGACGAATGTTCTGCTTCTCACCAAGTTGACTCGACAGAGGCCACCCTTTCGGCACTCTGCCTTGGTCCCCGCAGCCTCCTGCCGCGCCATGTTGCTTTTGACAGTAGTCGGCTATTTTCTTTTAGCCAATCAGCGGCAAAGAAACCAATGGCGTGGCGTCCCAAAGCGTCCGGGCCTGGTGTTGACGTAGTCTTCCTCTGTCTCTCGCAGCACTACCAAGGAATAAACCAGCACGTTTTTGCACCCGGGCCGCTATTTCTCTTTCGATATACGAAACAACGCTGTCGCCGGCGTTGAAAACCTGCTTTACGGCAAGTAGACAGCACCTGAACGCAGCCGTTACAAGCAGTCTAATGCTGGCGCACACATGTGTCGACGGCGAGGTTCACACGCCACCGATCGCTATCCATGCGACCCATTGATGGCGTGATGCAGTGCTTGCTTTGGGATGTTTGCAGCCACATTGCTGCCAGCGTTTGGTACCGCCTGGTATGATGCACCTCTTGGACACGAAACTGCCGAGTGAAACTGCCACCGTGGGACCATGACGCTTGGGCGATAAGATGGAATGGTCTACTGGATTCCAACCACCTTTCACGGTGGCTGACGACGCGGCGTGTCGGTCGCGTTCGAGGCCTGTCGTGCGCCTTCCAAGTCTTGCCACCTTGTGTGCAAAGGAACCTCCGGGTGTCTAGTCCATCCGGACAGCAACACATACGAGGGCTTTATTTGGTACCAAGAACACGGGTTCGTCGATCGTGGGATCAACGAGCAATCGAGCGTTGGTTGGACGCCGCAGAACCACGTACGTGTTGGATTGCCACCAGCAAAGATCCAAGAAACGCTGGACGAAACTGGCACCTTGAAGTTGAAAAGGCTCACTTTGAACTTCAAGCGCCCTGTCACATGTCGCGGGCCCATTTCGGCAACATGTCATTTTACAAAACGATGACCCGCGCCAACACGAGCATCTCGAGCGGGGTCTACGTGCGGTCCAAACGGCACGTTTACCGCAAGGTGACGCCGCCAGCGACACAGCTTCTACAAGTGCACCGCCCGCCTGCGTTTACCAACCCGCACTACCACGTCGAGACACAAGACAACCAGTATCCGCTGGCGCCGCCAAAGTACTCGATGGACTTTTGGGACGAGATCACCGATCTGCTGAGCGAACCAGTCGAAGAGATCGAGCCGTTGTGGCAGAGCTCCGAAGCGACGGCGACGCGAGACCACCTGCTTCGCGAGCTCGCGTCCATCCAAGTGCACTCTATTTAAACGCTCAAATCCTATTTATGGCGCCTCTCCAAAGCTTCCATCGAGCTTAATATGCATGAAACCGCATTATTAAATCGAGCGTTTGGATAGTGAAAGACGAACACTAATACAAAATGCTGGAAAGAGGACAAGTGTGGGGAATTTGGGCCAAGCACACCGAGCGACACGAATGCGATTCAACGTGGACATTGGAGAGCATTGGACCGAGACGTAATAATCTGTAGTAATCGCGTGTTAGTAGCGCGCGGGTCAGCTCAAAAACAAAAGTGTCCAAGTGCATCAACTTGGCGAAAAGCGAACAAGAGAAGCGTGGTACACTGCCTTGGACCGACGTCAGGGCACGGCAACTCAGATTCGACGGGGCCGTCCACGTTGGTGTCACGTGTCCACATCAACGTTATACTCTTGGAATTTCAAAATCAAAATGTAGAGGCCGACTCTACGACGCGTTTAACGTTATTTGGAGTGCTCTCCGACCTATCGACTCAGAAATGTGTTGCGACCGTCGAACTCGTCGATTGACGCGAAATAAAATGTCGATCACGCCTCGTCACGACTGCGATTCGACGACCGCGTGGGTTGGTCATCTGTGGAAAGGAGGCCTGAACGAAAGCGCCGCAATCCTGGAGCTGCAATCTGCAATCATCCTGTTCCGATGCTAACTATACTATACTGTAGTCGCTTCCAAAGGCGGCCATGTTGGCGGCCCTTGTCAACCTTTAGCGTTACAAGATTTCCCACTTCGTACACCTATTTTACGCTCGTGGGCATGAGGGTGCCAAATGGAAGATACTTGATCTGTGAATGCATTTCACACATTAGTTTCACATGCATTTCACACATTGAAGAGCCAATCAATCACATGCGAGCAAAGCACCTTTCACAACCGGTCTGCAGAGCTGGTCTGCGCATGACAATAATGCGCACAATCATATCGACGCCATTTCGCACACACGAGCATGGGCTGGGTCGCCTTCCGCAGCTCGTATTTGGCTCACTTTATCCGCGTCAACGAGAGCCTAATCAAGCTCACCGACGCCTTTCGAGCCCTTCACGCCTCGGACGCCGTCTCATGGCAGTGGTTCGTCGTCACAGGCAGTCAGGTCCCACTCGGTCTCCTCATCGGCATTTTCTGCCCTGCACAGCTGGAAGCGATTCTACTTGCAGTCGTTGTGACCCCGATGGGGCTTGCGCTCGCAGGCGCACTCGGCGTACCGGCGCAGTTTGATGCGCTTTTGAGTCTTCTCCTGGCTGCGTCCATTGCGACCCACATGCGTATCGGGTTCTACATCTCGTTCTATGCTGTTTACACACGTATTGTGTCTGGTCTTCTGCCATCGTCGTGGTCGACAACGCGCCAGGATGCGACTGCGCTCGTGTGCGGGGCCGTCCTTGTGCGGATGACAGCCTGTTCCATCGAGTCTATCCGGTTGTATTTGCAGGAGTCGGCGTCGGCGCTGATCGGGGCCGGTCTCATCCTAACGAGCATCGCTGTTTGCTTTGAGCCCAAGATTGTACGCGTCCTCATACTTCTCGGTGGGCTCGGGCCGCTCGTGCGTCAGTTCCGCGACATTGCCACGCAATCCATCTAGCATAGCGGTACTAGTATATAGCATATGAACGCATCTTCTTTCATGAATCCACTGAGCGAAAACGAACTCAAAGACGTCGCATACATCACGCCTGAATAGTGCGTGGGAGTTGGCACTAGCACTTGGTCGTTAAAGAGAGCTGCGGAGATGATTCATATTCCGTGGTGGACCCCACTCGCCGAGTGATAGCTCACTCGAGGTCGTAGTGCAAAATTGTACGCGGGCTCGTGTACTTGGACCACCCTTGTGTTAGAAATACTGTGCACAATTCGAGACGATTGCAATCACCTTCCTTTTCTTCGTTCACTTCTTTTTTGCTCGCCGGATAGAAAAGTCGTCGTAGACCTGATAAAGGCGAGTGTGTTGGGATTCCTTACAGTTGATAAGAAAGTTTGAGACGCCCCGCTTGGTGCTGACGGCGCAGTACGAGACCAAAGACGCCACATCCAGCAGCTTGAACAAGAGGCGTTGGCACGACGCCAACGCAGCCAAAGTGCACACTCATCATGGCGAGGCTCGCGGCGATGACGGCCGGCGCCAGCATTTCGGCCACCTCGAAAATACCAGCCGCAAATTAAATACCCACATAGGCCAACGCTTTGGCCAAGGCAGTCGCGATCTTTACGGGCGTCGTCCACGCTGGCAAAAGATAGAGCGTTGGCATCATGTCCGCGTGCAGCGTGAGGCCGTAGAAGCTGACGCGGGGGTGCTCGGCCAAGAACGCGCCAAGAAGTGGTGCCAACAGTACTTCGTACTGCGCTGGCATCTCAAATGCATGGGCAAAGCAGAGACACAACAGTGTAGCCGGGAGGGCCAGCATGTAGTGGACGAGTCGCGGGCGGTAGACGCCGACAACGAGGGCGACGAGCAGCAGCATCACGCCTGTCCCGTAGCACCTTGTGGCGTCGTCAGGCGACTTGGTATCTGGAAGGTAGGACTGGAGTGTGTCCAGGTGGGCGCGGTAGAGCCGGACGTGCTCGGCGCAAGCGCCATCAAAGGCTTCCCAGTCATCCATACTGGCGGACTACTGGCGGTGCTCCTTGCTGGATGAAGCCAAGTTGAGAATGCTGATGTTGCCCGTTTTTTCACACGACGTGTTTTTTACGTGGGATTGGTGAACTACGACCTGTACATTGTATTTTACTATATATTGTGTTTCACACGTGCTTTGCACTTGCATTTCACACATATCGAGCCAACCAATTAGAATCGAGCGAGCTTACAACCGGTCGGCGGAGCGCTGCCACCATCACAAGCACATACAATACCGGTACCGGTAGTAGTATCGCCACAAGACATGGACTGGGTCGCCTTTCGCAGCGGTTGCATCGCTTACATTAACGACTACCCCAAAAAGTCTCTGCAAGCACTCATTGACGGCGTAGATGCGAGGTCGATAGACCTCGCCACGTCGAGAAGGTCGTTGCCGCGTGGGTTGTGAGCGCGATGGGACTTGCGATCGCCGATACGCTGGACCTCCCGGCGCATTTTCGTTCCAAGACTAGCGCGCCCAACAGGCGGAGAAGCGCGACTAGCGAGATCAAAGGTAGGATGGCAATAAACGTACATACTACTAAATGCAACGACATGTACCACAGTGTCTTGATGATAAACCTGTGCACCGCCTCGTTCAGCCGCCTTTTGCATTGCAGGTTGGCAACATACTGCATTTCTCACGCGTGTGAATTTGCCGACGTTTGCCGTGGGAAAGACACCATAGACAAATAGAATACCGGTATCGTAATTTGCACATTCATTTCACACGATACGCTGTGGACTCCAATGACCGCGTTTAATTAAGTCCTAGGGCTTGCATGATCTTGTGAGGACATACCGGTACCTGCTGACATGACGCAGGGTCATGGCCGTTCATATATCGAAGGACGACGTGAGGTGCTCCTATGCATGGTCAAGCTCGTCACGTCCGTCGATTGAAGAAGCATGTGGACCAGCTACAGTGTAGCAATGCGTGTATAGTGCACAATGATCTTGAGCAACTAGGTACTCTTGACGACGCGTGTCCACAAACGGGCTTGATCCCGCACCAGTGCGGTTGCGAGGAGCTGTTGCGAGGCTGCTCTCGTCGCAGCCGCGTCGCCAACGGCAACAGCAAACTCGTGAAACTATCAAGTGTATCCGGATCCGGTTGTCCCCATGCATTCCACACAGATAACGGCCAATCAGACGCGACCACGGCGCCTGTCCGACACACAACCCGGACTCGGACCGTCGCCGCCAGTCGCCAGAGAGTCCATGGACTGGACGTCGCTTCGCACCGCGTGCGTGGACCTCCACGCCTACCACGTCAACGCGACCTCGGTCGTTGCGCCCGAAGCTGGCCCACTGCGCAACCTCTACCACGCTAGTCTGCTGCTCGCCGGCGTCGTCCTCGGTGTTGGCCAGCCCCGCGTCGTCGTCAAGTACTTTATAGCTCTCCACGCGAGCGTCCTCGTGCTCGGGGCGCTGCACGCACTGGGTGTTCGCCAGGCAGAGGCGCGGCTAGCACCTCTCCTTGGTGCGCTCCTCAGTGACCATCCGCAGCTCGGTCTCCGCGCCGTCTTGGTCTTCTCCGCCTTCAACTCGCTGCATGCGGCGCTCTTCCCAGTCGTACCACTCACAGTCATCCTCGACGTCGTTGCGCTGGTATCGAGTCTCGTGCTCGTGTACATGGTGCCGATCGCGGCCGCCCTCGAGCTCATGCACCGCGTCGGGCCGTCCATCGCCGCCTTTGTCCTCGTCTCCACCGGCGTCTTTGGCTACACGGGATCGCTCGCGCTGCCGCTCCAAGTATCGGTGCTCGGCTGTATTGCAAGCGTTATGCTCTGGTTGCAGTCGACGCCAGGCGCTCGCTTTCGGCGAAAAGTCGTGCGACTGTAATAATGTATTTGAAAGGAGAGTCGTTCGCCGCGTGTCGTATTGCTGCGGTAGGCTTCTTGGAGTTGCCACGTCGCAGCACTTGTTGGGCAGGTGCATCGATTTTGAAGGAGCAGCTCGACTGTTGAGATACGACCTCACGTGCGCGGCTCGATGCGAGATCCTGCACGGTCGCTCATAAATATGTGCTGTGTGTGCGCTCTTGCGATGCCGCCTGCAAACCCAAGCACCAATAGGGACGTGGATCGATACGCTGTGAACGCTACGAAGGCGCACATTTTTCGATGTTCGGCACTGTGTAAGTGTACGATCGAGCCACCGGAAATCGGCATCACTTGACCAACAAAGGTATCCCGAGTGCTAATAACGTTTGAATTGGATGTCAAGAATGTCAAGTTCTGTAGGGACGGGCTCATGTCTGAGATTCTCAGATACGAGTTGCCTTGTCCACAACTCAGATGGGATCTGAGTACAGTAGGCTTATTGCAGCTCTTATTGCTACGTCATGTCGTGATCCTCAAGCGATATCTTTCTACTGCGCTCGGTCGTATGCATGGGACGACCTAGTAACATGGTACGTTATTGCGCTCGTTGATGGCTACACGGTTGGCGTTGCCATAGCTACAGCACTACGAGGTAACCCTCGCACGGTCGACGACACGTGCCACAGTGTTTTCTGTGTCTTCCTCGTTGGTCTGGAATCCTCTCTCGGAGCGATAAAGTACATACTACTTGTCGGCTTCTGATCCAGCGACAAGGCCCGAGCAGTTGCACCGCGCGAGCGACTTGACTTTGGCAATCAAAAGCAAAAAACCATACAAGATCGAAACAACGTACTAGTACTAGTAGAGTACACGGCTTGGGGTTGGGCAGCGAGACGGCTATCGCGGGGTCGTCGTGGGATTCATGAGGGGATGTAGCACAGTAGCAGGTCACGGTCGCGTCAATTTTGCCTCAAAATCAGGTACTCGCTAACTCAGGTCCTGTCCACCTCTCTGCATCGTCAGGTTGGGAGCTACAACGCCGGGACTACGCTGATAGAAGATGCTTGCATGTCTATCACCATGGCCGATAGCATCCACCTCATCGTAGAATACCTTCCTTGGTCACGCGAGGTAGTGACCATGGGATGCATTGCATTCCTTCTCTCCATAGGTGGTTATTGCTCCTGCGCTGCGTATATTCTGGAGCGAATGCTCGATGTGGCGAGCCGCAGATTCGCGCCGTGGGGCTGGGCAAAACGATCGGTACCGTAGCACTACAACCACACTGGGACGATCCACGAGCCTTTCGACACTGGCGTCGCGACCAGATCTTATGGTCTGGCGTCTGATAATGCGCTTCCCGTCGATCGACGACGACTTCTGGTGCTTTTCCCGTGCGATTCATTTTCAGACACGCACCATGAAGCTCACGTGCCTCTCGCTTCTCGCGGCCGCCTTCGCAACCGTCGCTGCATCGCCCGTCTCGCTCAACGAGCTCACTGGCGACAACAAGGCGCGCAGGACCGAGCAGCTCGAGGCGGTCCTCGACGACGCCGACGTCAACCGCAAGTGCCACACGTCCAACAGCAACTACCTCCCGTCGCTCGTGCGGGTGCGTATGGCTCGAGCGTGTACCACAACTGCTTCCGCACCGACGCGCAGGTCGACGAGTACCTCGACGTGCTCGTCAAGCAGAACGCCGGTGTCATCACCAAGTTTCAAATCTCGACCACGCACAAGGGTACTCTCTTCACTTCTTACGAATCGTTTGTCTCATACCGAGGGGTAGGGTTGCCGATCTGGGCCTACAAGATCTCGACCGGCGCGCGCCCGTCGTCGCTGTACCTCCAGGCGCTTCTCCACGCCCGCGAGTGGGTCGCGACGTCGTCGGCGGTGCACACAATCTCGACGATCCTCGACAACATTGCGGCCAAGAAGCCGACGCCGACCGACACGCACGACCTCATCATCGTGCCGCTCGTCAACGTCGACGGCTACCGCATGACGTGGAATGGTGCCCGCGACCAGCGCAAGAGCGCGAACGAGGTCGACCTCAACCGCAACTGGCACACGTTGATTGCCAACCCAAACCCGCCGCCGCCGAGCTCGCTGGACTACCCGGGCCCGACCTACTTTAGCGAAAACGAGACAATTGGTCTCCGCGACTACCTCGACAAGAACAGCGCGTCGATCGACGGCTACATTGATCTCCACGCGTATGGGGCCTTGGTCCTGGCGCCGTTCGGCGACACCAAGCAGCCCGTCGGTGGCGGCCTCGATGAGAAGTACAAGACGATGAACACCAAGATCGCCAAGGCCATGAGCAATAAGTACAAGGCGACGCTCTCGCACCAGTTGTACTTCGTGTACGGCAGCTTCCTGGACTATGCGGTCCGCAAGTTTGCCGGCAAGCCGTCGATCACGATCGAAATGGACGGTACCAAATTTGTCGCGCCCGCGTCGTCCATCATCCAGAGGGGCAAGGAGGTCTATGATGGTCTCTCGGTCTTTGCCGCGGAGAACGCCGAGTTCCTCGGCAAGAAGCCGACCCCCACTGCGGCTCCCACGGACGCCCCCGAGCCGGCGCTGGCCCCGACGCCGACGGTTGTCCCGACGACCAATCAATCCGCGTGCTTGGGGGATTGAGATCGCGTCGTACACGTCCGAGTGTAATCAATAAATGTTGTTGCTCTAAAGATGTACACTACAGTGTTGATCGTTCTGTAAAGACTCGTGAATGACGTGGCGCATTTTGTCTATGGTCCATATGGGTAGACAAATGTCGAAAACAAACTGTTGGGCTGGTATCGATCGCTAGAAAGGGCTTAGGGCTACGAACGACGATCTTTCCATGCATTGGAACGTTATGTATTTCATCTTACGATGTAAATAACACGTAGCCACGATGAGAACAACACTATTAAAACGACATGCGTGACGATCGAGCATGACACTATTTAATACCGTCGTCAACCATGGGCGGGACCTGCCGCGTCTGCACGCGCACGTGCCAGCCGACTGGCGCGCCGCTTCGCCGCTGCCCACGCTGCAAGATGGCGCGCTACTGCAGCGCAATGCACGAAGCCAACGACGTGGGCGGCCACCGTGCTGACTGCGCAGCCGTCGTCGCCGCCGCCGCCGACGTCCAGCGGCTCCGCCTCGCGCTGTGGCGCCGCCCCGAGGCCATGACGGTCGCCAGCACGCGCCACGTACTCGAGGCCACGCAAAAGTACATTCGCGCGCTCTGCGCCGTGGCGCGTGGTCGGCGTGCGAGGCGGCGCTCGTGGCCGCCGTCTCGCTGCCGCTGTACCCGGTGCTTCAGGGCGCGTTCGTCCACCTCGAGAAGGCCTTGCCATGGTTCCTCCTCGCCCAAGACGACTCGGCCGGCGCATATCGCTGCTTCTTCTCGACCATCGAGTTCCTCGATGAAGCGGCCGCGCGCCCGATGCTCCACATCACAGCGTGGCGCTGCCCGAAGCGACGATCGATCCTCGATACACAAGAGTTGTTGACGCTGGTGCTGCTCCTTCTGCGCTCGTGTTCTACTTTCACTGGCTCCTCTTCCTCATGGGATCGACCTTGGACGCAGCGGCTTCGTCGTACATGCTGGGTCCCCACACCGACATGCTGCGCGAGATCCACAGCTTTTTGCTGCCGTCGTCGCCCTTGCGGTCGCTCTCGCGGTGGCGTAAACAGCCGCACGGACTGCGCAAAGCCATCATGCAGCTCCACCACGCCGTACCATGGAAGAGCTCTCGCTGCGCGACGACGCGCCGTGGCTCGACCTCGACGAGATCGCCGGCCTCGACCTCAGCGTCTAGTTTGGTCAAGCCATGCTCTTCGACTTGGGTATGGACATGTTTCTCCCGACAACCGTCGAGCTACTCCAGCGCGGGCCGCTTCGGGCTGCGTGGCGCGCGACGCCTGGCGCGATGACGGTGCTGGACGCTCGCCTGCACACGGCGGTCGAGCCGCTGTGACAACCAACGAGTGCTTCCTCCAGGGTGGACCAAAGCCACAAATACCGTATTTATGCTCGAAAGAATGAGGCTGGCCGAGTTGTGGTGTCAACATTGTAGAGTCCATGGTCGCACGCATACCATGGCAACGCCTGGTTGAAGGGCTTGCCGGCCTCAGCCCGTTTTCTACAGACGACGTTTTCGGCCTCGGTCCGTTTCCTACAGACGACGTTTTCATTTTTGAGGTTGCTGCCATTCATATTCTACGCCCTTTGAGCTCTCCCTTCGTTGGTCTGAGAATCGTCTCTCGTTATATAGAGTACATGACGGCTTTCTGATCCAGGCACGACATGTGCCATGGTCTTCTTGTGCAATGCAAACGACGAGATCAAGCTCGTAACTCGCCCGAGTGGTTTGCCAGCGGGATGGAGACGTCGCTGCGGTGCTCACCGCCGTGTCGAGTGACTGTACCGATATGTCGCGGTGCAGCTGCGAGTATCAGGTTCCCGCGATTAACTCAGGTCCACCTCTTCGCATCGTCAGTTGGGAAGCTTACAACGTCGTGGGCTACCGTGGTTTCGTGTCTAATAAAGCGCTTCTTCCCGTCAGTCGACGACCTAGTGCTTTTTCAAAACTTGTCGATTCATTTTCAGAAACGCACCATGAAGCTCACGTGCCTCTCGCTTCTCGCGGCCGCAACTGTCGC